AGTAAATCACATATTTCTACCATTGCACCTGGACTGTGGTGATGTTTCTGATTTATTATTTAGGGCACTTTTTTGGGAAACTTGTACCATGATGGTTAGGAACTCAATGTAAGGGTTCTGTCAACTGCTAAATATATTTATTCTTTGGCTGGATCAGTGAGAGTATGCACATGTTGAAAGTAAGACTTGGGTCAGTACTCCATGCATTTTCTGGCTTCTGTAGGCTCCACTGTTTTAGGGGTACCAGGATAATATTTTGAGTCACCTGGTGTCAGTAGTAGCTTGCACCCTTCAACTGGAAAGTATAAAAAAATTCCTTGTTTCATGGGCAAATATCCATAGGTCCTTTTGAAAAAGACTGGGAGAATCAACATTGTATATCCTTGCTGTGGAATTGCAGAATTCTTCTTCAGGAAGATGTGGCTTCCCTTTAAAAAATAGATTTTGTGTCTGAGAACTGGTTCAAGCCTGGAAACTAGAGAATGAGCAGTGATTTGTCTATTAGTATGTCGACATCAGTCAACTGTTTATCTGTTCCTCATTAAAATTTTTTGATTATCTATATCAGGCAATGCCCTTGTTGTTTGCTCATCAGTCTTGTCCTAGAAACACTATGTTTTATTAGGTATCACCACAAATACTTGCAGATTTGATACTTGTTATGATAACTCTGTCCACCTTGCTTCTGGTCATTAAAAGCTGCCACCTGGCCTCTGCTATTTCAAATCCGATCTCTCTGATACAAGAAAGCTACTTTCATAGCAGTATTTCCTACCATCAATCCTAGCCCAGTAAGAACGTCACACACGCGCTTCTTGATGATGCCAGGGGTCTCTTTAGTAGGATATTTCTTATTCTCAGTAAAGAAAGTATCTTCTGGAACTTTGCCAGACATGGTCATGCAGTGGACTCTCAGTTCTGCAATGGTTTTGCCCACTTAGCCTGCTGATTTCTCACTGAACACGTTGTCAAAGCACTTCCACCTCAATTAATATGAGACATAGTTATTTCCAAGTTTATAGGAACAAATCAAGCAAAAGTTTTTAATATTGGCTGCAGATGCCCTTGCTATGGTATTGAGTTACACAAGCAATACTCCACTGCAACAAATCTTTTCTATGCAGCCTTATCTTCTACCATTTCAGTTTAGAACCTTTAATATCTACTTCTAGGCATGTTCTTTCAGTTCTTCTAGCACTTATTAGCCAGGTTCTGCTTTTCCTTCAGTAAATAATTCCTTTCCTCCTGTTTTAGTTAGCTTTTGGGGAAGAGCCCAGTGGAGGAAATCTGCTCAGCTCACAGAGGGGTCAAGAAGCAGAAAAAGGCAGGGAAGGAGCCTTCTAGGGAATGCCCTAATGACCCACCTCCTCCAGTCATGCCACACACCTGCCTACAGTTACCACCCAGTCAGTCCATTCAAAATAGGATCAACTGATTAGGTTACAGCTCTCATAATCTAATCATTTCACCTCTGAATATTCCTGCATTAACAGAAAAATTTGGGGGACACCTCAGATTCTTTAGCAGAGGTAATATTTTCCCAACCACATCATGCTTGAATAGTAGGCAGGAAGAGAGGCCTGTGTATATCTTGAGGAACAAGTATAATCATGCAAAATATCAGTTGTAGTTGATGTTTCTGCACAGCCTTTAGGCAGGAGGAAGCTGTTATTCTCAAGTAAAAGAATTTGAGGGCGGTTGTTTTTGCCCAGGGCTTTAGAGGCATTGGAAGTTCAATGATTTTTTTTTTTGTGTGTGTGTATCCCAGTCTCAGGTTCTATTCTTTCTTTATTAGGATCCAACCATAGTATAAGAAGTTTGCCAAGATACATCAGCCTTCTTTGAAACTTTGCTACTTTAATCTCAAGTCATGTTCCTGGTCTTCAGTAGCTACAGATGATAGTATTCTCTTTTAGTGCCACCATTGAGTACTTGCAGCTTCCACGTCATGCTCTGAGTTGGTAATTGGTGCTCTAAACTTGTAATGTTCTTGTTCATTTCATTAATAGAATTTCATAACAGCCATTAATTCCATAGATTTTATAACTACCAACATCGCAATATAACTCAAATGAAAGAGATATTATACAATCTAATATATCTTCATCTGCTTGTATCCCATTTGAGTTCATTCTACATGCAAGTTTCAGCAATTACCCTGGGTTTTGTCACTTTTCCTATCACCAGTAATGGGCTTTCTATTGCCATTAGTGAGGCATCCAACTCCAGCATCCCATCCTGAGAGTCAGTCTCCAGGATCTTTTCAGGTACCAATTGTCTTAGGGTTCTCCAAGAACAAACACTCAAACAAATTTGTGTGAAAGTGATTTATGAGGAAGTGTTCTCAAGAAGACTTGGTAGGGGAGTGGGGGGCAGGAAGTGAGGAGAGGGCAAACAAGTGTGAGGTACCAGGCAAAGACTCATGAAGAGGAACTTTGACTCAGTTCTGTAGGGAAGATGAAATAACAAACTAGTCACACCTCGGAGCTGCCATGGCTGGGGACAGGGACCTTCATCTCTGCCTCTGAAACTCTGAGATACTGGTGACAGTAGTTGCCACTACTGGGAAAAAAATTTGCAGGCAGTTCCACTTCTTTGTGTGCAAAAGCAAAGTGTTTGGCTTCCTGAGATAAGTTGAAGAGATGTGGTCACTGGCTGTTGAATATGAAAAGGACAATAGTGGATGTAGCTAATAATTGTAAAAAAAATAAGAATATATAACAGGGTGTGGGAGGAGCACTGTGGGTTTCTTTAGAGGGGTGGTAATGGAAGACAATAAGTAAATAAATCATAATCACCAGGAGGAATGTCTTTTGATAATATTAGACAGCAGAGATAGTACATAATCCTACTGCCTTCTAGTGATTCATCTGCGAGAGTAGATTTTTGGTTGTTTCAAAATTGCCAGACGATCTGTCTCACTGTTTAAGGCTCACTGCTACTAAATAACTCTTCTTTTCCTCTTGTGCTTTTCCTTCCTCCTCCTCTTTTTTTCCCTCTATTATAGCCATTGAAGAAATGTACAAAATGACTGATCACTGCCTATATTGTGGATACTCTGATGTTTTTGTCTCCTAATTTTTTTTTCTGCATATACATTTTAAACAATTTTATTCTTTTAAGTAGTTTTCAAACTGTTGTCTTTTTGTTTGAAATAAATTTTACTAACATGGATCATGTGTCAAGCTCTTTTATATACTGGGCAATGTTATAGCCACTGAGGTTGCAACAATGAACAAAAAGATGAATAGCATAGAGGAAGATGGATCTGCAGGGTAGGAAGACAGGGAGTGCTTTGTGCTTCTTTGTGTGCTGTTTTTGAAGGGCACTCACAGCAGGGTGATAGTGAGAAGATATCTGAGGGGAATTTTCTGGGCAGAGGCTGTAACAAACACCTTGAGATAGAAATACCTTTGATGGGTTCAAGGAGCAGCTAGGAATCAGTGTCAGAATTGGAATTTTTGGCTCAAATGCGGGAGGCCAGGAGGAAAGTTGAAATTATAGCAGTTATGACCAAAGTGGACTGTGAGCAGCTGAAAAACCAGGGTCTTGGGAACCATTTTAAGAACTTTGCTTTTTATTCTGAGATAAGAGGTCATGGGAAAATTTGAGGGAGAGGAGTGTCATGGTAGGACTCATAGTTTAGAAGACTTACTCTTATTGCTTTGTGAAAAAGAAACTCTAGGGAACAGAGGCAGAAATACAGACTAGTCAAGGGGCTGCAGCAATAATCACAGGAAGACAAGGATGATAGCAATGAAGTAATGAAAACAGGCCAGATGCTGGAGAGAAAGAATATACATTTGCCAGAAATGCTAACAGGATTTGCTGATAAGTTGAATGGATTAGATGTGGATTTCAAAATTTGACTAGTAGAAATATTTCATGTTTTTATTCATCTTTAATTCATTTTTCTTCTAACATATTATAGTTTCTAACTTGAGAGAAAAAAAATTTTCTTTACAGGTAAAAGTTACAAAGAGACATGCTGAAACTACTGACATTTCCATGGGTTACTGACAACTCACAACAACAGATTAATCATACAAACATAATTTTAGTCATAGCAAGGGCTACGCAAAAACTAAGACTTATCCCTGGCTTTGATGGGCTGTTGGATCTTTGGCAAAAATGAATATATGCATGCACACATGTGCACGCGCACACACACACACACACACACACACACACACAGGTGTTTTCTAAGTGATTTCCCCAAACTCTAAACACAGCAAAAATTTAGAAGCAATGAAAAGTCAATCTGGGTTTCTGTCACTGAAAGACTTACCAAGGAAGTGATTTAGAGTGAGCTTTCAAGGAAACACACCATATGTGGCAGGAGATGGGTCAGAACAAGAAGTTAGAAGAATAAACAGGTAGAGTGTGTAATGGGACAGAGATCGGCCTGATATGAATGAATGAACAATAACAAAATAAGCATGAATGCCTTCTTTTGAGATAAACATTTTTGTAAAAAGCACTGGTTTTACCAATCCCTACCCCCACTTGACTTTCTCAATTAACTCATTGATTCTTAATTTGTTTTGGTTCGCAAATATTTTGAAAACTTAAAAAGCAGTAGAGAATGCACATTCACACAAAATTTACATGCAGTTTGAGGACTTCCTAGATATTCTGAAGCTAGGTATTTATAGAGCTCAGGTTGTGAACTATTCAGTGTTTTTTAAGCATTAAGGTTTTGTCGTCAAGCAATAGTTATGGCTTAATAGCTCTTCTTTCCTTAAACATTTCAATCAACTTTGCCAGAAATTTTACCAAAATTAGAACATCACAAATCCAATTGAAAGTCATCAAAGATATTGGCCCTATGGCTTGATATTGATATTGATAGATCTTTTATGCAGTAAGGAAAGGAAAAGATTCTTTGGTGATTTTAAACACTTGCCTGAATTCCCTGTATAGACTGGGTAGGCATGTAGGAGAAGCTGAATGCATCATTATCCATGCATAGATACAGATGCTCAATGAAATATGTTTACCTTAGAGTGGAGATGAGCAAGGACTTTTGAGGCAAGCTGAGGAAAGATCCATCAACCAACAATTTTAAGGAATAAGCTAAGAAATGAAATTCAGCTTTTCTGCACCATAGAATCCTGCAAGTAATCACTAGAAGCACCAGGCTATAGACTGTGAGGGTAGCAAGTCATGACTGTTTTTTCTCTAGTAAATTACATATTACCTATGAGCTATTTATTTATTTACCTATCCCAGGCTGATTAGAATGCACACTTTGTTGAGCTCTCTGGGCATAGGTACAAAGTAATAATGGCTTGGTAAGCTATGTGCTCTGGAAACCCTGCAAGCAAGCAAATTCAGGCGAAATTGACACAGCTGACTGGTAACTGCCAGTGAAGTGTGGGCTGACCTCCAAGGGTGTAAGTGTCACTGTAGCAAAGCACTTTGTGAGAAGAGTGAGATGAGCAGCAATTATCTCTTTCGGAATAGCAATCTCAGGGACAGTCATTTTCTCTCTCTGATTTCTGGGTTGAAAACGATATGGCACACTTTATGGAGACGCCTTGAGTTTTGTGTAGTGCATTATAATTTTGCATGGCATCCTGTGTAGGTAGCCATATGGCAACCACATGAAATTGGTCTGAGTCAACTTCTGAGTCAAACTTCACTGGTTTGACTAAGTCCTTAGCATGAAGAGAAAGAGGCAGCAAGGTAGTTACTGTCCACATTATTTACATGATTATGTGCATAAAATGGCTTAAAAGTATATGTTCTGGTATATGTTCTGTTCTGGGCTTTGCCATTTACTATTTTTTTTATATATATAAACGGATCTTTTTTTAAAATTTTTATTGTTGGTTGTTCAAAACATTACATAGTTCTTAATATATCATATTTCACACTTTGATTCAAGTGGGTTATGAACTCCCATTTTTACCCCATATACAGATTGCAGAATCACATCAGTTACACATCCATTGATTTACAAATTGCCATACTAGTGTCTGTTGTATTCTGCTGCCTTTCCTATCCTCTACTATCCACCCTCCCCTCCCCTCCCCTCCCCTCTCCTCTCTCTACCCCCTCTACTGTCATTCATTTCTCCCCCTTGTATTTTTTCCCTTTCCCCTCACTTCCTCTTGTATGTAATTTTGTATAACCCTGAGGGTCTCCTTCCATTTCCATGCAATTTCCCTTCTCTCTCCCTTTCCCTCCCACCTCCATTTACTATTTACTTACTAGTGTTGGCTTGAATATTTTTTTTTAATAAAAATGGAGTTGAAAATAATATTCTATTCCAAGGATTTTTGGAGGATAAAACAGATAATTCATATCTTATGCTCATAGCATATTGCTTAATATATAGGAAGTTCTGAGAGCTTGTGACTTGCTTTCCAGTCTGGCCTTGGACACTGCAGATGTTCTTCCTTAAGATAAGCTAGGCAGAAAGGTAGAAAAGCTAAGGCTTCATAGGACTCACTTTGCTGCTCTCTGGGAAGCTCTTGCAGCAATGGGAATTTCATTCCTGCTGCCGTGACTCAGTATACGGTTGAGAGAAGAAAATCCCTGTACCCTCCACCAGGGCTTCATGCATGCAGATCCGTTTTAATCTAGATTCTCAAATTGCAAACTGAGTTAATTTTTCCATGAAAATAGTACCATTAACATTTTGGTACTTTTCGGACTTTATCTAGTATGAATACATTCAGGAAATCACAATTATATTATCTAGACTGGCTAGGAACGTGCTTCTTTTCATGTAAAATTCAAGTGTGAACATTTTCCAAGGTCATGGAATCTAACTTCCACATAATTTAAAATAAGTCATCCTGTTGTATTTCTCTGGAAGTGGAGACATCTTTATTTTAAAATAATTTGTGATGAATAGTTTCTCATCTCATACCTCAAAAATAATTGCTTTTCAGAATGTCATTTTATATCTTTCAAGATGCTCCTGCATGTATAAACCTCTATTATATGTATATAGTTTACATTAATGTGGTTGCAATATACATCTATTCTATAATCTGCTTTGCTCATTCAACAACATACAGTAGATATTTTTTTTTATGTCAAAATTAAAAAAGGTTACCTTGGCGGGGGGTGGGGGGATGGAATAGTATTCTACTATAAGTATACATTATTATTTATTTACTCAATTTCTTATTATTGGACATTTTATTTTTGATATTTATCATGCAATATTTAATGAACATCTTTATATAGCATATTTGTCTACTCACACTTTTATTTTCTTAAATAATGAGAAATGGTATTGTAGGACCAAATGATATGCATAATTTAGATGGTGGTACAAACAAGCCCCTGATAGTGCTGACTATTTTTACATTCCCTTTCAAAATACATGAGATACCCTAGTTCTCTGCACTTTTGTTAGAAGTGGGCTAATGTTTTTATTTTTATTTTTAATTTCTTATTAAATTTGCTGTATCTTTGTAATCTGTACTAAATTCCTATTGGAATTCCATAGTGTATAAGTCAGTTCCAAATATTTGGCAAAATACTATAATTGATTAGTCCTTCTGTATTCTTTTTACTTTTTCTACAGCAACCATGAGAAAATATTTTCTGAATTTCAGATTACTGACAAAAATGTCAAGGTTGAAAACTTTTCTGATACAATGGCTGAACTTCTCAGTAAAATTTACTCTATACCCTTAATGGGAAAAAAGTCTTATACGAGACTACTTATGAACCTGGCTTCCACAAAAGTATTGTGACTCATTTTAACATTTTAGGAGAAGTAAGAAATTCTCTCAGTGGGTTAACTTTCAAGGACTTTACTGAAGCCTTGAAGAAAACTTGAGGGCTCAGTTATTCCTTCTAGACAGGCTATGTAAGATGCATTTATTTTGTCTGCTACTCTACTTATCTAGAGACCTCATTATCTGGGAATATGCCATGGCTCTGTGGCTTGAAATCCTGAGGGAAATATTTTCACCCACCATAATATTAGCCTCTCAGTTTCGAAAGTGGAATGTGAATCACAAATTTATCCTTTAGTCTTCAATTTGTAAAAAGATAGTGCATAGATAAAATGGAAAAAAAAAGGTAAGTGGATGAAAAAATCCTGTCCTTATCTCCAGCATGCTAAGAGATGTGAGAAGCTACAGCTACTGTTGTAAAGGGTTGACACATTCAAAGTATAGAAAAGTCTGTTCATTAAAGAGAGTATTTTAATAATTCTGGCTGTCAGATGAATAGAGAGAGTATATGAAAATGCTTCAAAAGTGCCCACAGAAGATATCATTTGATGACATGCAAATGTCAGCACTCAATTAAAAGGCCACTCCAGTCATTACAGAATATAAGCCATCCGTGACACATGCCAGATCCCAGGTCACATGCTGGTTAGTAGTATTTACCCTTCCTCTCTCTTTCCCTCCCTCCCTCCCTTTCTTCTTTTAAGTAAATTTATGTTCACCAGTTATGATATTGAAATTTTTTTTCTCTTTTCACATTTTGAAAGAGCTGCATAAAGAATTTCTGTAGCTCAGTGGTAGAGTGCTTGCCTTGAATGTGTGAGGCACTGGGTTGGATCCTCAGCACCACATAAAAATGAATAAATAAATAATAAAGATATACAAAAAAATTTCTGGGCTTAAATTTGGGAAGTTTTCAGTATAATGGCCAAGAAATTTTAAAAAGGAGGAAAAATAATTTATTCTAATATACAATTTTATTAGCACACAAATATCACAACCCTTAGTTGCACTTAAAACATTGGGTCTTCCAACATGTTGTCTTCTTTGTGCTGAAATACTCTTATTCCTCTGTCTTCCAAGAGCATGACGCATAGACTAGGGCATCAATAAATTATCTTAAGAAACATGTGTAATGGTTGAAGATTTATGGGTTAAAAACAATATAGCTACTAGCTTGTTGTCCTTAGGTTAAAAAAAAAAGAGGGGCTTTTTATTTTTTGTACCAGGATTGAACTCAGGGGCACTTGACCACTGAGCCACATCCCCAGCCCTGTTTTTGTATTTTATTTAGAGACAGGGTCTCACTGAGTTGCTTAGCACCTCGCCATTGCTGAGGATGGCTTTGAACTTGAGATCTTCCTGTCTCAGCCTCCCAAGCCGCTGGGAAGAGGAGCTGTTAATGAGAAGAGTCTACATAAAAGATCCTTCATAAGTATAAGGAGAATGTACAGGTGATTTAGTCAGCTCTTTTGCTGCTCTGACTAAAAGACCCAACCAGCACAATTATAGAGGAAGAAAAGTTTATTTGGGGACCCCTGGCTTCAGAAGTCTCAGTCCATAGACAATAGGCTCCATTCCTTGATGCTCAAGATGAGGCAAAACAACATGGTGGAAGAGTGTGGCAGAGGGAAACAGGTCATGTGAAGCTCAAGGAGCAGAGAGAGAAACTCCACTCACCAGATACAAATATATACCCCAAAGCCACACCCCCAGTGCCACACCTCCTCCAGCCACACCCCACTTGCCTTCAGTTGCTACTCAATTAATTCCATCAGGTGATTAATTCACCGATTGGGTTAAGGCTCTCATGAACCAATACTTTCCCCTCTAAACCCTCTCGAATTGTTTCACATGTAAGCTTTTGGGTGACACCTCACATCCAAACCATAATAACAGGGGAATAAAAAAATTAGTGGTAGAATGAATTGAAAGAAGCTGGAGTAAAAGAAAGGAATCATTGCAATGCTAATGTGATCCCTGAAGAATAATTTCTTTTTTAATTAATTAGATAGTAGAGACAGCTGATCTCTCATTCATTCCCTTATCTTCAGGGACATTCCAGTATCCACAGATCTCTCTTGGTGTATAAGTCAAGGTTCACCAGAAAGAAAGAACCAATAGAATATATATAAATAAATTAATAAATCACCCCCATATATATACAAAGGGGGTGCGATTTATTAAAGAAATTGACTCATACCCTCATAGAGGCTGCTCACAGGGTGGAAACCCTGGGGATTTGGTAGTTTGTTTCAAAATCTCAAAGTCTGAAAGCCTCAGAACCAGGGAAATTGATAGTGTAACTCACATTCTTTATGTAATTTGCTGTGCCTTCTGAACCTGAATGGCTCAAGCACATGAATTTCACTTGCTATGATTTGCATATGATTTGGCTGTATCACCAAAAGCATGTGCTGGGAACTTGGTCCCTAA